CTTTAGTTCTAACAGAACATCAATACTGAACAAAGGCCAGAATTCTAAAATGTACTGTAGGCTGGCCTATTAAAAATATATACTGAAGATAGCAGTTGGGATAATTTAGAATTCTCTAAAACTAAACTTAAAAAAAATCCTGAATGGAGAGAGAATCTGACCAATTATTTTATTTACATCATGGGACCTAGTTAAGGATATTACTGGTTAAGTGAGATCAAACAAGCCCTTAAAGTTGACACTTACCTTCTACCCCATCATTGAGTAAATAGATGCTGAGCACCTCCAGTGCCCATAACAGTGGGAGGGGAAGGGAGCCCATTACCCATTATCAGTTTCTAGACTTGTAAGAAAGAAGAACTACATTGGCAAAGCAGGGTGTGCAGCTACTTAGACAGAATAAGTATACACTAATATATACTAAATTAAATGAACACTCTACCAGAGAACAAATAGTATATAAAGCACCAAGTGAGCAATACTAAGACTGAGGGAGATAGTCAAGAAGAGTGATGTTCACTGGCCTAAACATAAAGTCTAACTTCTGAGTGATAGGTTCTCCACAGCAGTCAGTCCATCATTGCTTAATACAGGGATTCTCAAAGTGGTTTAACTTCTACCTTTCTGTACCTTCATTCCAAACCCTGGACCATTTGAAAAAGTTCAGGGTCATTGTCGGTCAGCCAGACACTAGAGGGCAACAGCCCCCTCCCCCTCACACACACACACACACACACACACACACACACACACACACACACACACAAGCCCACTGTCCACAGAGGCAAACAGCAGTGTTAGTCAATGAGAGCAAGATGTTATAGGAATCTCATCACAGATGAAAACAATAGAAAGATTCCCAGTGAAGAGTCTGTCTGAAATTGCCAGCTAGAGAAAGTGCATGGAAAGCTGATTTTGTAATTCCTAAATTTTAATGAAATGATTTATGATTAAGATCTTATTAACATATACATAAAACTACATAAGTGAACACTGTGGTGGAAGAAAAAAGATAATCAGTCTGAATGCTGTTCCTAAGAGAAATAAACATATGTTCTCCAATTCCATGCCAGCCAATAGAGGAGGATATATCTCCCTGTCCATTTACATAATGATGTCATCATTTTGTTAAGTGCTTTAAACTGATGGAGATGGGTGGGGTGACATATTCAAGATAATATAAGGAAGTACGTGCTTAAAAGAAATTCTAATTTTTGCTGCATACTTTATATTGACTCAGAGACTATGTCTTTATCTGTGGCCAAAGTTTCAGCTTATTTTCAATTTTTCAGGTATTTTTAATTTAAAAGATAACATTTCAGAGGACTGAATTAATTGTCAATATTGCTATTTCTTATTTGAAATAGTCTGGGATCTCCTCTAGAACTTTATTAAGTAAATCGTAGCTCACTCAATTGTAGATTTAAGCACCAACCCTTATCCTCTTGGTCCATCCACCTTTCATAGTAATTTTCTGAGGAGACGTTGTCAGAAACTGAGAATAGAGTAGTTTATTTGAAAGACCTTATGGATTTTAGAAATATATAGTATTATTATCTATAATAGTACTGAAAACATAAAAAAAAGTATAGGTATTAATTAGATAACATTCTCAAAACATGAAAGCTATCTGTTCACAATAAATTCCACTTATAGATTGTGTATAAATTATTAACTTCTCAAAGGAAAAATTTCATGAAGAAATTAAGAGATGTTATTTGAGCCTTCTTCTCCTTTTTTTTCTTTTCTCTTATTCTTCAAATAGTTTACATTAAGATATGGAGGGCATTTTGTTTGTGAATGCTTGCCAATGGTTCTTTTTCTTCCCTGTGTTTTAAAAAATCACAATTGGCTTTTTCCTTCTACCCATTTTATTCAAACATATCATGTTGTAATTCTCTGTGAAATCCTAAAATTAACAGTGTTTCACTGATGGGCGATGAGGAAGAATTGAACGTATCAGTCAGTTAGTTGGGGGCAAAATATGTTTGAAATTAAAAATATGTATTTCTTCTGCACAGAAGTATGGTTCATTGGATTGTAAACCTCAAACCTGAAAGAATATCAACTTTTTTCAACCATTCTGAAACAATAGTTAATGGAAAGTGTTTTTTTTTTAAAGGAAAGTTTGAACATGTATGTGACAATCTAGATTTATCAGTGTGATTATAACATTAAAGCTATGTAAATATTATTAATGAAACAATAAAGTACTGTAGCAGCCTAATGAGATTGTATATTTTTTTCTCTATCAGGTTCAGATATACTCTTGAGAGACTTAGTTACCATAATTTGAATATAAAATTTCAACATGTGTTTCTCTGGCTTTCATTAAGGAGATAAAATATTTGGATTTATTTTAAATAAAATTGATGATTAGAAGAATAGTCAGAAAAGTAAATCAACAGGAAACACACTTTTTCACGTGTGTCACAGCCTAACAGATATATTCCCATTTTCTTTACCACACATTTGCAAAAAGGTCTTTGGTAGCTTGAAAAATTATTGTACCTAATTATCCATAACCATAATATACCTTTATAAAACTGCTGTCCCTTGCAACAGTTATAGTCACTTCCTTACTGACATCAGAACACTCACAAAGTAACTGATCTAACCTGTTTATAATGGCAATGTCCACTATGGACATTCTGACAAAATGTAATAGCTCACGAAGAAACAAAATATATAACATCATTTAATAAGTTTCATAGCATAATTATCAAGTATAACTGCAAAATTAGAATGCAGCCATTATAAAAGAGTGAAGAGTCACCTACAGGCAGTGATTATTAGCTATGTTATCCATACTAATCTATGAACAGAATCTCTTCATTACAAATGAGTACCTCTCATGTTTTGAGAATGTTATCTAATTAACACCTATACTTCTTTCATGTTTTCAGTCCTATTACGGATAATAAAACCATAATGCCATCAACTTGAATCAGTGCTATTACTGCAAGAGCAGAGATCAAATGTCCATGGGATGTGAGAGAAAAAGAAAATTATTTCCCATATCCATCACATCCTACCTATGAACTTAACATTCCTATCTACTGCTATTATTATCTAGTATCATGTTATTTATGGGGCACATGCAGTTTGCATGAGGCTGCATCTATTAAAAGGTGAGTCTTCACTGGAGAATGAGAAGTGGAAGCCTGACTCTTTGAAAAAAAAAAATCAGAGCTTATGTTAGAAAGTAACCCTGGATGCTAAAGACTTCCACAGGCTTTCTTTTTTCTTTTTCTTTTCTTTTTTTTTCTTTTCTTTTTTTTCTTTTCTTTTTTTTCTTTTCTTTTCTTTTCTTTTCTTTTCTTTTCTTTTCTTTTCTTTTCTTTTCTTTTCTTTTCTTTTCTTCTTTTTTAGAGAGAGAGAGAGAGAGTGAGTGCATGCACGAGCATGAGCAGGGGAGGGGTAGAGAGGGAGAGTATCTTAAGCAGGCTTCACGCCCAGCACAGAGCCTTATGTGGGACTCAATCTCATGACTGTGAGATCACGACCTGAGCTGAAATCAAGAGTCGGATGCTTAACTGACTAAGCCACCCAGGCGCCCCTTCCACAGGGAAATTTTAACTTAAGTCCACCAGTGGTTAAAAATTTGAGAATAAGGTTGTAGAGAATTGAGACAGGCAACCAAGATGTGCTGCACAACAGTACTGTAGGCAATTACGCAAAGCTGAATTGATTCATTAGCTTACCTGAGACAGATACCATACCATTGGTCAATGGCTATATAGAGTGGATAATTACTAAAGTGAATGCACTCATCAGATATGTGAGAATCACTATCTAAAATCTTTTCAGGAATAAAAATAATTCTTATTCACGATTTGAAGGACATAGAATAATAATAAGTACTTTTAAAATTTTTGTTACAAAACCCTATTTATGTATTTATTTATTTTTGTTTCTGTATTTATTTTAAATAAAAGCAAAAGATATCCTATTGTAATTCATTGTGAATGATATCCATGCTATTCTGGTAACTGTTATTTCTTAAAAGTGGGGAAAAAGTTAGATTGGTTGTCATTTGACTCTCTGGAATCCACAAATATGATTAGTTTATGGAAGTCCAGTATTACATTGACTTAACCTAATAATCAGAATGAATGGTAAAATGACCAGAAGCTACTCATTGTATTTCAATGTTATTTATTAACTGTTCACTGGCAATAAAATTATTTATTTTATGAGAGTCAAAAGACAAATTTTGTCATATTCGCCAGACAATTATTGTCTTATGTTTTCCAAAGAGCCATCAGAAGCATAATTCACTTTCCCAAGCAAAATGTACATAACATTTCTCTTGTTACAAGAGAAAATAATTGCTCTTCTAAAGCTGATCATGAAAACACAATATGTGTTCTATGTATTAAGGTAGTATCCCCTCCTTCAAAATCGTCCCTTGGTTGTATTCTTGCTAAAATCTAGACTAATATGCTTCTGAAATTTGAGACTTTAACCTACATAATTAGGATGAGGGACTTAACAGCGTGAGAAAAGGAAGCCCATGTGAGAAACACATTTAAGTAACATGAATTAACTTTTTATTAAATAGACTTTTTGAATGATTTTAAAAATGTATTCTTTTAACCTATCAATTATTCATCTAATTTCATATGCCTAACAGTGTCTTACTTAGACTCCTGAATGAAAGAATAAATGTAATAGGGTTTCATTTCCTTCTCACCATCTCCCCTCCAATATGGAACAGGCTGTATAGAAACCAGAAAGACAAGCTTTTTAAAAGCTTTTTAGGGGAGGGAGGGTGGAGTCAGAGCTGGTTTATGGCGATGCTAAAACAAGCTGACCTATCTTGCGAAATGCTTTTTCAGGACCAAAAGACACTACAAACTAGCTGAGAAGCAGCATCATTCCCGAAAGAGCAATGTGCATACAGGCACACGCACGCACACACACACACACACACACGCGTGCAAACACACTTATTTTATAAAAAGCGTCCTAGAGATAAAATGGAAAAAAAAACTTACTGAGAAGTCTTCAAAGATTTTCTTGAGTTCTTTGTGACCATGCCTTTCAGCGATATGTGCTGGATCTGAACCCTCCAAATTTTTCACCTTAGATGCCCAGGTTGCTCCTGAACATTGAAGCAAATGGATAGCTAAGTTCTTTAAACCAAATTTTGCTGCACAGTGGAGAAGGGTTGGAAGTTCCTTGAAATGAGTATCTGTAAGGATGAGAGGTAATAGGATTAATATGTTTTTATCATACCTGGAACTCCATAAGAAAAAGTCGAACACAATCTACTCCTAAAAGTAATTCTCACAAAGCAGAACAGATTTTTGTGTGATTTTTCATCGGTGGTTTTAACAATGTAGCATCTCTTCCTTTCTATTTCTCATCTTACAATGAATATAAACTAATATTCTCATTAGTATTAATGCCTCACTCTTACTTGTGGGATAATTTTAATTTGAAAACACACCAACCTCTTAAATATAAAACAGAACAAAAATATATTGTAATAACTCCTTTTGAAGATACTTGGACATGAGGCAAATACTAAATAACAATATTAAATAGGTTCATCTATAAAACCTTTTTGTGTTTTCTACTGTCACGCCTGGTTTGCTTCCTTCTGAAGTTGAAACGGACACATAATTCCTGGAGGGGTTATATTAGATTCTTTCAAAAAGGAACTGCAACAGAAAATACAGGCAAGCACTTTTATGAACATCTTCAGTACGGAAATTTCCATCAGGATTTTACAGCTTTCGTATCAATGTTTTGGAGTTTGAATTTCATAATTAGTTATTAGCTATCAGTTAGAAGTATTAATTATGCATCACTATAAAATGGTGAATGTAAACAGCTACCTCAGTGACAAAACACACACAGATGAGTGATGGTTTGTTATTAGTCTTTATTTTCACAACTAGCTAGAAAAAATGTGGTATAGAAACTACACATCGGCTTGCTTTAATAGCTGTGGCATTATCAGAAGCAAGCAGTGTGAAGACGTATGGCAACAGAAAGAAAGGTGTCAAAGCAAAAGTCAATTCTCTTCCATAGTGTTTTGGAAAACTGAATCTGGCCTCATTTTCCTCTTTGCTATATTGTAGGCTAAAGGGAAACAAAAGGAAAAGAGAGCAGAATTAGACTTTGAGTTTTCAATTCACCTGAGTGTCTTGGGGCACAGTAAATTAGTTTGTTGGTTTGCATGTTTTAACAGAAGACAAAACAAAAGAAAAACCTCCAGGATACATTAAGAACTTACTGTAAGGCAATATTTTACCCTTCAAAATGTGTTAGAACTAAACGGCTCTATGTAAATCTGTGGTTATATTTCAATGATAAGTGCACTGGTCACTTCTTATATTGTGTGCAGTGGGTCAAAATTTATCAAATATTTTATGAAGATGAGCTTGTGAAAGCTGAAACTGTCTAAGGTAGGTACCATTTTCAAAATGAAAAATTATGGATTTTCTTAAAAAGGTATTAAGGTAGAATTTTTTATTTATTTTCATTAAAGGTCATTATAAAATATAATTTTCTGCTGTAATTAAACCAGGGCAAAATTAGGAAGAAAAATATTTACATGATAACACGAGATTTTTACATGCCCTGGGTCATCTCTCTCACTGCCACATCATACAATGAACAAAAAACATCATCACCTCCCAATCAATGCTTTACGCATTATTCCTGCACATTGCTATTCTGGTGAACTTTTACATCACTGTCAATACAGCTTAAAATGTTATTTTCATTAAATAAATGTTTAATCATTATAGGAATACAGTCACCTACCTCCTTTCAGTAAATTCCTCAAGTTTAAGATAATATAATATTAAAAACAACAAACTTCATTAAGAATCTCTCTTGTGCATCAAAAATAGCAACAAACAGTCACGGTTTTCCAGGGTACCTTTCCTAACAGCTGTGCTGAACCATGTTTTCTGATACACAAATTAAGATTGTAGTGATCATGCTAAAGATACTAGAGGTCTGAAGGTTGGCTTCTTTATTTTCCGTTTCTTTACTTCATTGTTAGTGGTAGCTTAAAATCCATTAATCTACTAGAATGCTTTTTGAAGTTACAGACATGACAGAGCCTTAGAGGGTATCTTTCCAGTTTCCTACCCAGTAATAGAATTGTATTCCCAGAGGCCATAAGAGATGATCTGGGTACTGCTTGCATACCACTAATGACAGAGTGCTCTTTACTTCTTAAGGCAGCCTGTGTTTTGGTTAGACAACACTGATTATTGGATAATTACGACTTCTGTTGGGGGGAAATGTATTTCCTCTAAATTCTCATGTATTCTAATCCTTTGGGCAATATAGAATACAATAGCTACAAAGGCACAGGTATTTACTACGTGAACTTCAACAAGCTACTAATTATCTGAGCCTAGCCTTCTCTTCCAAGTCATAGGGTTATTGAGATAATTAAGTGACTTAACAGAAAAAGTGCCCAGGAAAGTGGCTGAAACATAGTAGGCATTCAATAAATATTCGTTTCCTCCCTTTATCTCTACTGCATCAAATAGTTTAAGGCATCCTTGTCCTAATTTATCTTTGTTCCAACATTAAAATCTCTGATTCTTTCCATTATTCCCAAGTACTAACCATCCTGAGAGCTTGACTCCAGAATAGTTGGTCCTTTACAAAACGAATCAGTTTTAAACCTGCTTAAACAATCGTTTACAGCAATATTTTTCATTATCTTGGATCGGGTTATTTTGCCTGCTTATTTTCACTAAGTAGGAAATGCTCAGCCTGCTAATATACATGGTCAATAACTAAAAATTTCTAATTTAAGTTTTTTTTTTAATTAAAGCATGACAGAGTTAACCTTTCACAGAATTTGAAATGATGCAGAGGAGCTATGTTAGTTATTTTAATGTTAATTGAATCATGATCTTTAGCTTATTTTTCTAGAACATCAAATTAAATATACTCAGTGTGTGCATATATTATATTTATATATATGTGAATAAAGGTATTCATGTCAATAAAGGTACCATTATGCTAAGAATTAGTTCCGGCTTTTAGGTGTACTTTTCATAAAATCATACTTTTTCTATCTTCACCTTGCTTTGATTATTACGGGAATTTAAGACATGAATGGTTTCCTCTGTATCTGAAATAGGCCTGTCTGTAATCACATAATCACTAATGTTTTTGTGTAAAGATATTTATGTTCATAGAGTTTATTTTTTTAAGTATAAGTTAAATTTGCACTGATGAGTTTGATGAATTTTGACAATTCTATACACCATGTAACCACAGCCCAAAATAAGCTAAAGAAAGCTTCTATTACCACAGAAAATCCTCTCATGTTCCCTTCTAGTCAATTCTCCACTTCAGAAGCAACTACCTGCTAATTTTTATCAACATAGGTAAGTTTTATTTCTTCTTGGATTTCATAGAAGTGGAGTCATAGATACTTGTGTACTGCATTGCCTTCTGGCCTCTATTTCTGATGAGAAGTCAGATATCATTTTTGTAATTGTTTTCCTGTATGGAATGTGCTTTCTCCAGCACAATCTCCCCACCCTCGCCCCCTTCCTCCTTCAACTACTTTTAAGATTTTATCTTTATTTTTGATTTTCAGCTGTTTAACTATGGTGTGTAGGTATGACATTTTTGTATCCATTCTTTTTTTTTTTTATTTTTTTTTTCAACGTTTATTTATTTTTGGGACAGAGAGAGACAGAGCATGAACGGGGGAGGGGCAGAGAGAGAGGGAGACACAGAATCGGAAACAGGCTCCAGGCTCTGAGCTATCAGCCCAGAGCCCGACGCGGGGCTCGAACTCAAGGACCGCGAGATCGTGACCTGAGCCGAAGTCGGCCGCTTAACCGACAGCGCCACCCAGGTGCCCCATGTATTCATTCTTTTAAAATGATTAAAAAAATTTTTTTTAATCTTTATTTATTTTTGAGAGAGATAGAGAGAGCGAGAGCAAGCGGGGGAGCAACAGACAGAGAAGAAAACACAGGATCTGAAGCAGGCTCCAGGCTCTGAGCTGTTAGCACAGAACCCGATGCAGGGCTTTAACTCACTATCCGCGAGTTCATGACCTGAGGCAAGTCGGACACTCAACTGACTGAGCCACCCAGGCGCCCCTAAAGCAATTTTTTTAAATGTTTATTTTTTGAGAGAGAGAGAGAGAGAGAGAGAGAGAGAGAGAGAGAGAGAGAGAGAGAATGAGTCAGGGAGGGCAGACAGAGAGGGAGACACAGAATCCAAAGCAGGCTCCAGGCTCCGAGCTGCCAGCATAGAGCCCGATGCAGAGCATGAATCCATGAACCCTGAGATCATGACCTGAGTCGACGTTGGACACTTAACTGACTGAACCTCTCAGGTGCCCCAACATTTTTGCATTTATTCTGCTCGTGGGGTGACAGGGCTTACTGAATCTGTGGATGGATGTCATTCATCAATTTTGGGTCATTCTTGGCAATTATTTCTTCAAATACTTTGTTGCCCCATTCTCTGTCACCGTTACTAAAGAAATACAATTATACATGTATTAGATCATCTAATATTATCCTATATAGTCTGGATCAGAATTAAGTCAAATTAATGTATAGATGAACTGAGCTTGTTCTTTTTTTATGGCTTTATTTTGAATCTGGAGTTTTCGTCTCTTTTTCAGTTTGAATAATTTACTTTGTCTTCAAATTTACTGATTCACTTTGTTGTTTCTATAATGAAGCCCGTCTAATTTTTAAATTTTTTCAGATATTGTCTATCTCTAGGATTTCCTTTTTTATTATAATTTCCATTTCTCTGATAAAATTGTTCTCATTTTACTCATGTTGCCCGACTTTGACAATACATTCTGTAACATATTTATCATAGCTACTTTAATGTTCCATCTGATAATTTCAACAACTGAAACACTTCTGTCTGCATCTAATCATTGTCTCTTTTCTTGACCAAGGGTCACCTTTTATTCCTTCTTCATATTTCTCGTAATATTTTATTGTATGCTGAGCATTGTATTAAAGAACCGAAGTAAATATCTATCCCCAGAATAAGGCACACTATTTCTTCAATCAGACAACTGACTCAAATTTATCTGTAGACAAGCTGAGCTTGGCCAATTTTGTGTCTTTACCTAGCTTCAATTACCAACTGGCCTCAAATATTTTGAGGGCAGGATCATAACTTTCTTCAGAACAGCTTGGGATCTGAGCCCTGGTGAGAATCAAG